TAAAATACACTGCGGGGCCCAACAACCAGTCTAGGTTTCTTCGATTAAAAACTATTGGGACATTTTGTATTACTTTTTTTTTGCGACTTAAAAACTTTGGATCACTTTTTGCAATTTGGAACAGCTTAAAAGCAAATGCAATTTTGCTTCGATTCACAACTTCTGAGTTCACAATAACTTGTAAGAAGCAGGTCAAAACGTGACATTAAAAGTGCAAGTATCTCATTTAATTCATTAGTTTAAATGTAATAATAAAAACTATTAGAAACTCCCAGGTCACACACTACCATTGCAGTATGAAAGAAGTTGTGTAATCTCGCAATAGCAATGCAATGCAGGCAATTTTTAATGGCAAATCTCAATTAGTTCATTTAATGACCTTCATCCTTATGACATTTACCTACCAATTGCTCTCACCACCGGTTTCGTCTCTGCCCGCACGCAGTGCGGCGATTTCGGCCCGGCAATGAGAGCAATACTGCCGTGTTAAGGAAAAAAGTCGTACGGGCCTTTAGATGTGGCCACTTGGCCACATTTCCTTCAATAAGAGTAAAATGGGCCTGTTGCAAACTTTTGCTAGAGCAAAACTAAGAGTTGTTTCTTATAGATAATGCCTCAAAAATCACGATGAGCGCATCGGCAAACTCTGAAATGCACTCATAACTTCACAATCTGCGTAAGAAATTTGCGGTTTTTTGAGCTTCCCGCTTCGAAAACGATACTACGGTACAGGTGAACATTTTGTAAGAGGAGTCGTTCCATCGTCGGCAATAATCATCATGGCCGACGCCAATCCGCCAAAACACGTTTGATGGGACGAGATAACACCTGAACTGGATTAGACCAGATAACAATCGGCGTGTTAACGTTCATATTTTCCACGCCCGAATTGATTGACCTTGAACTCTCCTTGAATTACGCGCGGAACTGCGTGCAAGCGTCGGCCATGATGAATATCGCCGACGATGGAGCGACTCCTCTAACAAAATGTTCACCTATGCCGTAGTATCGTTTTTGAAGCGGGAAGCTTAAAAAAACGCAAATTTCTTACTCAGATTGTGAAGTTATGAGTGCATTTCAGACTTTGCCGATGCGCTCATCGTGATTTTTGAGGCATTATCTACAAGAAACAACTGTTATTTTTGCTCTAGCAAAAGTTTGCAACAGGCCCATTTTAATCGGGAAAATTCTGAATATCCTTTTTTTCCAAATTTTTCAAAGAAATGTGTCCGCGATTTAATCTAAAATATCTGAAAATTTCAAGGAGAACTGTGCAGACCTTTCCTCACAATTACATGTTCTATTCGATGAAATTAGTTAACTCTCAAATGTTGATACGGCGTTTTTTTCTTGGCACGGCAGAATCACTTCGAACGCGTATCTCGGACATTCAATCCTTATAATATCTACTTACTATGGGGGTCGTTCATAAATTACGTGAAGTTCTAGGGGGGAAGGGGGAGGTGGAGGAATGCGTTACGCGATTTTTTTAAACATATTAAAGAATAGGGACTTAAGTCATACAAAAGCTTTACAAAAGGGGATGGGAAGGGAGCGGGGTCCAAAATTCCGAAAAAAAGCGTCACGTAATTTATGGACTAATTAATGGATCCCTAATTGTTCTCACAGCCTGTTTCGTCTCTGCCCGCACACAGTGCGGCGATTTCGGCCCAGCAATGAGAGCAATATAAACCTTATTATAAAGTGTTTGAATCTTTTAAAAAGCGACATATTGTTGATGACTTTATGATCGTTCGCAGCCAAAATCTATAGGAGATGGAGCTCATCTGAATGCATGGACTCAACTGCGTCGAAAGCAGTGTACGATAATGACCCACAATAAGACTTTAAATAAAGTTCCGCCGACAGCCCCTGGCGGTTAGGCAACCTAATAAGTACCAGTAGCTGCACAATGTGCGATGTGCGGAGGGTTGACAACGTATTGTCTAATTCTAATGATTAATGGTGTTTCATTTTTAATTTGGTCCTCCTACCGTTCGAAAAATTTCAACAACTGCGTGTACAGACATATCCTCACAGTAAACTGAGAGGAAAAACTGGCGAGGAAAACGAAGAATCTCGATAATGAGTCATTGTTGGTCCTGATAGACTGGCATAACATTCTGAAATGTAAATTAATATGCACATTTGAGTCCGTTCCTGATAGAATAATGAATATTTAAATTGTGATCTTGCAAAATGAGTTTTCAAAATAGTGAATCAATTTATGAAAATAATTTAATTTGAAAGCGAAGCTACTCACGAGTGAATCTAAACGAACATCTGTATGAGCTTTCATTGAATGACGGTGGAAGTGTAAAATGCTCTTCGGAACTATATTTAGGCTTGAAACCAAGTAAATTTTGTTCAGACTTGAGGTGGATGATTTCACGAGGACCGCGAATCAAGATCGTATCAAGCGAAGTCTTAAAACTTCGGCATAATAAGACTCAAATTCATCTTGGTTGGTACCCAAATTATATGTGTGACGGTTTTTTGGAAGACAGTCAGCAGGATAGCAGTATTATTCAAATACGGATTTAAAGCTCCAAAAATTGCTTATTCTCAACCCTTAACATTGAAATGTAACGCGCGCACGATGCAAAGAAGCAACCGCATAGAAACTTACATGTCAACGTTCGTATGTATGATCTTAGAACTTCCTAACCTAATTGCTACCGAGAAAAAATTGCTCTAGCAATAATTTTTATGGTCGGACTCAATCCTGGGACTTAAACAATGATTACGATCTATCCAATGGCACACCTTTCTAGAAAAATGCAAGGGCTTACAATGCGAAAAAATTGTGCCCCTGTCGGCGCACGATCGAAGAACATGGGCCTCCTTTTTAGTTATTGAGAAGAAATCGACTGGGATTGGAGAAATTGACTCATTTGTGATAAAATGTAGACTATGCTTAATAAATCATTATAAAACACATTATCAGACTTGTAGGTAGCCACGGCAATCTACTAATGGTTTAATTCGTTTATTTATTACGACGATGAGCAAGGATGGCTATTCACGCCGGGGTCCAGGAGGCCACATTAAATTTGGAGATTTAGATGCTTCAAAAGTTTTAAAATTTTGGTAGTGACTTTTGGGTGGGCATCTAATAGATATCATAGCTCAAGTTGTTTATTCTCTTTTCCTTTCTTTTCTTTTCTCTCTTCTGTTCTTCCACAGTCAACAGGGAAATACAGTCTCCCTCGACAGACCCATAATTATATAGCACTTAAACATTTTCTTTAAAAAATCATGTTTCCAAACAACATGAATGACTTCTGTTACTGTTAGTGAAGCTATATCTATGAAACTTTTTGATACATTCATTAAAAGTTTATCTTGAAAAAGCTCGATTATTTGAAAATAACTTGAAGATTTAAGAGGAAGAAAACAATAAGATTCATAGTCTTTATTTCGCGATCATTATTAATTACTTTTAAGACACTATGATAAATTTGAAAAAGTGTATGAATGAATGTAGCCGGTGAAAAATAATCGCCATGATGTAGAGTTTCCCAAGGGTTAGACATTGAGGAGAAAAAGCATTTGGCTAAATACTGGCAAAAGAGTCATACTCAGAGTCGTTCTTTTAGGGAGGCCCCTGGCCCCTATAGTTTACAATGTGATTAAACCTTTTCATTGCATAGCGTTGCATGACAGTAACCAATGTTTTTTGGCTTCAGTCTTCTCTGACATTAAATCGCATCTAGCAGAAATGGTTTTTAGGGAGGATAAAAAGTCTAATCTTCACAAAAAAAGGGGGGGGATGTATACCTAAATCGGGACTCCATGCACCTATTCCTATAATCCTACAAGTACTGAAAAAAGTAATTTTTATCTCAAAAATCGGTGCCGGATTTAGGCAATGAAGGGTTAAAGGGAGATTTGCAAGGAGGACATTAGCGTGGAATCATAAAAGTGACAATTTTTAAGAAACTAAAGTAAAATCCATGAGCTTAAATTAGGATCGATTAATGATAGATGGATTCGACTATACCGGTACACTGGAAAAAAACACATTGGATCTAGAGTCCAGACTCTTGAAAACATTGGCAAGAAAAAATACTCTTGCATGGTTCAATCAGATTTGTGATTAAATCAAAAGGAAATCCGCTCAAATTAAGAGGCTTGGTTCTTGATTTAAGCAAAAATCCGATTGAATCAAGAGTATTTTTTCTTGTCCATGTTTTCAAGAGTCTGGACTCAAGATCCAGTGTGTTTTTTTTTCTCCAGTGTATAAAGGAATGACTCAATGTTTTAGATTGCAGCGAAAATTACGTCACGAATAAGTTTAACCACACTCGGCTTGAAAATCAAAATTATGTACCTCTGACCAGACGTGAGTTTTCCTTAAGCCATACTTTGCGTTAAAAATATGAATTAATATGACTGGATGGATGGGGCCGAGAGGAGTATTTTTTTCTGGACCAGTAAACACTCTGACTTAAGCCCCCTGTGCTACGTGCCTGCTGGTCAAGAAACAACTATGAATCATGGAGTGTGTCAAAGGTCATCATAATGGGTGCCTTGGTTCAGGGGCTAGAGGTGAAGTTCATGTACAGTAAAAGCTCGTTAAGACGAAAAATGAAGGGACCGAAAAAAATTTCGTCATAAGCGGTTTTTCGTCTCAACCGTTCTCCGCTTAAGACGAAATTTTTCGGCATAAGCGGCAATTGCGCTTGTATCCGCGCTGCTCTCAGTCATCCTGAGATCATTTTTGAGGTAAACAGATCGAAGGTCAAGTGAAGAGTTTTTAAGTGAATGACTTTTTTAAAGATTATTATCTATCAGTTTTGAATTTTTAAATTGTATACAATACGAAATCCAAATTTTGAATTTGTTTAAAATACGCAAATCGGTCATCCAGCAAAACAGAGGATACCCACGATCTACTCTCAACCTACTCTTTTTATGACAAGGTACGTAAAACTAAGTCTATTTTCCCCAAGAATTGGCTCTTTTTTGTCGTTTTTACCCAATTTCAGGGGGGGAAATCGGAAATTTTTCTTCGTCTTGACCTCACTCTTTAGCACCTCACCGGTGCAACCGGTGATTTAGCATTGTTGCCAGATTATGATACGTGTTAAAAAGCTTCTTATCATACGTGTCGTGCTTTGTGCAAGTGAAACTACGGCTTTATATTTGTTTACTCATTGTTTATCTGGTTTATCTACTAAAAGCCTAAAAGCTTTCTCAGTATGAATATGAACTGTACTGTCCATGTTTTGTTTTACCAACTGGAAAGTGACTTGCCTTGCATACGTTCCTGAAATTCAGGACGTAAAGTTTTCAATTTCATCTAATTCAATTAAGTATATTTCGGTTTTTACTTGGTGATTTTGTCCGCATTGTGTTTCGTAGCAATCGGTGAGTGTAAATTCTTTTTAATGATGTTCATTTTTACTCTAAACAACAAGTCCTAGGTGAATTGCATCTCTTTGAAGCAGTCCATTCATATGGCTTTTCATTATCAAGCACCTATCAGCATTAGGTGTAAAAAGTCACCCTAGCAGTTGACTCCCAGTAGAAAGCTATCAATAAGTTCGTTAGACTCACATTAGTCCATGTGGTGCGGTACACCGGTAATGTGGCAGCATGGAAATGGACAATTTGTCCCCCATTGTCAATAACAACATATGGTGCAGGACGTAGCATTTTATTGGTGAGACTCCCTAACCTTTTAAAACGTACGACGGACATTGCAGCTTCTGGAATTGGAAGCTTCAAAAAATATAGTGGTCTGTAGAGAGATTAAGATATTGACGGCGCAGTTCTGAAAACGCACATCTTGGTAGAGACGTTTCAAAATTTCCACCTCTAATTTAAATTTTTAATAGATAATGAAATTATAGAAATTCTTGAAATTTTTGAAGGCTACTCTTCACGTAGAGAAGCAAGTTCACAGACATTTTTTTTGGAAAAACCTTGATCAGGTTTTCTTCAAAGAATTAGCTGAGCTGTGGAAATTTCCAACAGCGATAAACGAGATACAAGTTTTTAAGAAGATGCCATCGATTTCCGCTTTTGCAGTAAAGACAGACTTTAAATCTTTTTAGACCATATGCCCAAGTTGATCGGTGTCTCACTTTTTATTCCTCTTTCATGTCCTTGCAGGAATTGTTGTTCCAGCTTTACATAGACGAGAGGTTTCACTGATAAATGTACTCGTTATCCTTTGAAAAATCTCTAAAATGGGTAAGTTGCATGGTGATTATCAGACACACCGTCAATAGACTTTCATCTTGTTAGTAATACCTTCAGCACTGAAAATAGTCCTCACTGCTGCAAGAATCTTTCTTCTTGCACTTAACTTTGTCTCTGCATTTGTATGAAGGTGCAGAAACTATAATGCTGTTTTTGGAAATTACGGTAGATAATCATCAGAATGGGATCAGCTTTCCATCAATGACCAAAAGAAAGGAAATAAACGTAAAGCGACCTAAAATTCCATTTTTCTTTTTTTTTTGGCCTAGTAAAAAAAGTTGACCACAAATAGAAATAACTCAATTACAACTTTGTCTTCACATTTGGATAGTTTTTGGCCCTTTTTCAAGGTCATGATCCAGGGCAAATCAAAGGGAAAGTTCATTTCTGCAGGATACCACTGCTACATTTTAGAAAGACAAAAAATTATTCATTTATTCGAAAAAGAATATTGCATACAAAAAAGAGAAGTATTTACGTCTCAGCAAATGCATGACCTGGCCACTGGACTGAACAAGAGGGCAGAAATTACCAAAACTAAGTACAATATAAATCAAAATAAAGCAGGGTACTTAGCAAACTATACCATGAATTTACTAATCCCACATGAATTTTGATACAATTTTAATGTACTTACCTGTAGAGTAAATTTGAACAAATCACCTAAATCAACTAAGAATATTTACATTTAATGGATCTCCAGATGGCTGTAAACTGTGGCTTTTTGTGCAATCAAATCAAATGGCAGCGTCTTTATTTCATCTTTAAGTATATTATTGGAATATCTCGCTAGAGTTCCTAAATTCCAACCCCTTAACATAATTTCATCCATTGACAGCCTATTGGTTATAATAATTCATGCTTATTTCACACTTCATACTTTCAGATGCTGAGAATACTCAACAGATTGTACAGTTTGGGCTAATGGTTCTAGAAGAATTGCGAAAAGGGAATTCTGCAGCGTCAAGTGGAGACCTTCACTTAAAAAGACTTTCCGTTAATAAGTTAACTTTTCACTCCAGAATACTGTCTCGCATTATGGAAGTCACTATCAACGAAGAACTAAAAGTAGAGCTGACAAGACTCATAACATGCACTTCCCAGTTCCTTGAATCCAACCGCATTACTGGTTATTCAATGGTTGAAACTGCACCTGTTGGTCCTGGTTTGCTTGGTACCATTCCTCCTTCAATTTCCGGTGGTAGACCTGAATATGTTCTGCCCATGGGCTACATCAACAACTGTAGAAAAGCAGGTATATAGATTAAAGTCATAATATCATCACCTGCATTGTTTTAATATGATTAAACTCATTTGAAATGGAGGCATCTCAATTCAGCTTATTTTATGCAATCTGTATAGTACACTCCGAAAAAGGGTGGATGGCTTTTGTGAAAGAAAAAGAGGGAAAGGAGATTTTGGTTGATTCAGGGAACAGAAAATTTTACATCCAGTTAGAAAAAAATTTTTCCCCCATCTGTCGACGTCATTGTTCAGGTCCCTAGTGTATCAGATTTATCGCTGGGTTGCAGTGGTGGTTTGCCAGGTGAAGCAAGTGTGGTGGCACCTCACCTTGTTTACAGGTGATAATGAAATAAGCAAGAATTTCAATGAAAACTGTGGGGAGGAATATTAGATATGTACAATAAATTCTTCAAGCAAGGTTCACACCTACCCGAGGACTTATCTCTCATGGAACTTGTCGCCAACCTAACATCAAATCGGCGAAGATGAACAAAGTTCAATCCATCATTCAATACTTCATCAACGAAATGAATCAACATACTAATCTTACTTCATTTGCAGGCATGACCCTGGCCGCCATAGCCAGAGATATCCAAATTTCTCGGACAACGCTGTACAAACATAAGCACTTAATTTTGGAGAATGAAGAGATGAAAGACGATGAGTTAAGTGCAACTGTTGCCCATCTTAAAGAGGAGGATCCAATGTGTGGTGAAAAATATGTCACCGGCCACTTAAGAGCTACAGGGAAGAAAGCCACACAGTTGAACAGACAAGCTTTTGGCTGACTTGAGAAATAAATTCAAGGATAATGACATCAATGAAATTTGGGACAAGCATTGGGTGACCACGCTCAGAAAAACCTGCAAGACATTGTTCAAGGGACAGAGGATTTATTGAAGACATTTGGCACCAGTCGCGGCTGTTCATGGCAGCACTCTCCACTGCTCAGCGACATGCAGCTTCTTCCAAATAGTAAAACGAGAATTTTAAAAAGGTGAGTTCTTAATGAATTAGAATTTTGCTGAACATTACAGTTTCATAGTGCAAGATAGGTTCTAAGGATTTCATTGGAATAATGCCCAGTCCACATTGCACTCTTGCGTAATTTATTGGATGATAATCTGATGAGGAAGAGAAGTCTCTGAGTTCCGCTGTCATATCAGATTGTAAGTTCCATAATACAGTTACTGTTCATACGCAAAATGAAAAAAACTTCTGATTAAAATCTAGGAGGATGGGTTCGCTCCGTATAAAAGAAACACTAAAAAATAAAACAAGTGTTTCTATGCCACAGTCCATCAAATGGATTTCCTTGATAACTTCTACAAATTGACTTCGTTAGTACACGATTTCGTCATCTTAGATGTGTTCATTAACAGAACTCATGCTTACCTAGCTATTGATTGCCAACCTGTTAAAGAAGGCAGTAGCAGTTCTGTTAAGGAATCCATAAAAACGGGCGCCAAAAGAGTAATGATAAAGCTTGCTTAAAATTCAAGATTTATATTTTTAAATATACCATGTTTAAATTTTGAGTATGGATCGTAAATCAAAACAACATGCAATTTAAGGCTACTCATACAATATTATTTGGTGCCAGCTTGATAGTTTAAATATAACAATAAAGTAGTGAGTTGAATAGTCGCTGACACCTCTTTTGATACTCAAAGAGTTGATAACCTGTGGTACTTCACCTCAGGGCGCCTAAAAGACTTTAAATTTATGTCAAGTTTGAAATCTATCTTCTGCGTCTAACAGCACAGGTGGAAACCTATTGGTTTGGGAAAGGAGAGATGACTTGCAATTATTTCATTTGACTCACCACTGTGAAACAGGATACTAGAATTTGGATGAAGTTATCGTACAAACCAGTCTCGTCACATAGAATTAGTGGAGAATTTGAAGTCAAACTTATGCTTTGTTTTTTCATAAAATGCTGTCGACTTTTAAGCATAATATTAGCCGAAGATTATGAAAAACAATATAACGTTAATGTAATAATTGTAAATTGTAAAATTGGATGTTGGAATGTTGTAATGACTTGTAAAATCTTCACAGGGAAGTAGATGTACCAAAATGTGTATGTGTGCAAAATAAAAAAAATTTAATAAATAATAAATAAAAAAACATCCAGTAGTGATGATATTCATTTTAATTTCCGTATCTTCTGCATTTACTTTTAAATATGACTATAGATCAAGATGCGATGGACAAAATTAAATTTCTACATCTTCTGCAACTGGTTGCATTTATTGTCGGCTAAGGGTAACGGTGGTTGAAGCGGTCTGTGTACAGTATTTTAACAGCACGAAAAGATGAGATTGTCTAAGCAGTGCAGCTATGTAAGAGCTTGTGATGATGCCCCTGGGATTAAATGAGCCAGATGAATCCCCATTAAAACATTAGGGGAGCCATTAAAAAACCTAATGACCTGATTCATAATATGTTTATACCTTGACTAGATATTTATATTGACTAAATTACCAGTGAATGAGACACATTCATGGAGGAATCCACAAGCAGTTAGTTATCTCAATGCAGAGTTTAATCTATGAGGAGCAATCAAAAACGACTGCTCCTTCAAATTAAGGATAAGAGCATGAAAAAAAGTTCAGTGGTATAATTTATGCCGTGTATTACACAGCTTTAACTTAAACACTGGTGAACTGCAATAGCAATGAAGTACACTTTCATCACTACGGAGTTTTTGGGCTTGTTTTCAGCAATTTGAGATTTCATTGAAAGAGAGTGATAACAAGTTAGTTATGATTCTTCACCACGTTATTGCATACCTATTTAGTAATTAAAAGTAAAGATGAAGGTAATAAAAAGAATTAAATCTCTAATCATCATTATGCTGCCATTTGGCCATAATGGCAGCATAATGGTTAGAGATCCAATTATTTTTATTATCTCCATCTTTATATTTGCTGCTTCTCCAAGCATGTTTAAGTATTTAGTTTTTAGTAGTTCTTCCTACACATATTTCAGAGTGAAAAATTAAGGCTAATAATTGCCGCGTTGGGTCACATTGAGTGAATTACAAAAAGTCAAATCATTATTGCTCAAACTTAAAGCTATGCAAAAGGAGATTTATAGGTTCAATTAAAGTATGATTGCGAATAAAGAAGTTGACAGCAACAGCGATTAAATTCGGAAAACAAGAGTAAGATCATGATAAATTTTGTCACAGTCATTTTTCGGTGGCTTCGGGCACCAAAAGAGAAGTTGAAGTGAATGACTTCTTCAAGAATTTTGTATAATACTTGGAAAGCTTACAGTTTTCTTGTGATATTTTTTTTTCTATTCTCAAGGTGGAAAAGGTTGGTAATTGTCTATCTTTCTGACAAATTCTTTCCACCCAAAATATGCAGGATTTTGGACCGAATTAATTTCTAATTTTCTGCGTCTGATCAAACAAACACGCACGAAAGAGAAACTGAGCGTGAGTACAGAATGTTCTTGCAAAAAATATACTAAACACGTCAAAATTTTTCAAAATTTACCAAATTTTTTTAATTGATGTACTCTTCATCTCTCCTATCAAAAGTGTCAACAAGTTATTATCATCAAAGATAAACCACAGCTTGGGATACATGTATAGTAGGGCTATTTCCATGGGGTTGTTAGCAAATTAGATGCGATTTTTTTTTTTCCGACAGAGGGTGGCTACGCGCTATTGTAGAAATGACAAGAATTTCAACTTCAAGAACTTTGAGGAGATTCAATTTTAACAGGAAGTCAAATTCATTGCGATTGAAATCTTGTTTCAATTGTAACAAATTAAAAGTTAATCACGTTGAAGATAAAATTTCATTAATCACACAGCTCTACTAAAAATCTTTGAAGGCCTGTTAAAATCAAGAGCAGGGATACATTTTGGGCCAAAAAGAGATTCTGATGGATAATTCCAAAAAGTTAATTAGAATTTTCACTTTACACAATTATAAATGACAACATTGATGATAAAGTATGGGTCATGGTGGCACTTACCTTTTGAAAATCCTAAAAAATAAAAAAAAATCCTAAAAAATGTGCTCTTCACACTTAAAATCAGTTTCTGTTGTCTGCTTTTGTCGCTACGCTGTGCAGCAAAAGGTGCTATGCGATTTTTGTAGTGGCACATTTCCTCAGAGATCAAACCTCTACTTGTAGACAAAGAAGTTAAGAAAATAGCATTGCCCAGGGTGTCTACTGAGGTCCACAAAAATAAAATAAGTACTTTTTCAGTTCTTTTTAGGTACTTAAGGAAAAACTTAAGTACCTCGCCTACGGGAAAAATTAAGTACTATTTAAGTACCTTTTCAATATTTATCGCAATTCTTCGATTTTGGCACTGCCCGCGCTTTACTTCGGCTATTCCCGTGGCCTTTTCGGCTGTTTCCGTCAAATCTAGGGAAATGCCTTATTCCGCTCCTCTACAACAATCGGGCTCCTAAGGGCTGACATTGCACTGATACGCCTGGACAACGTAGAGAGGGTTGCATAACTATCAGGCAATTGAACTGAACGTGCAGCGCAAAATGCGAAAAATTACACATCTTCCGCAAGATTTACGTACTTTTAAGGTACTTACGGACCGACCTTAAAAATTGCGTACTTTGTCCAGACTTTCCGGACTGGTAGACATCCTGATTGCCCCACAAAAATAAAATAATTCCAAGATATTTTTCAATACAATGATTAGAAAATACATTAAAATTGTGACTCTATAGGAAAAATACCTTCACAGAAGAGGCTTTGATGAAAACTTGATGGTTGGGGGAAGTTCTCAGGAAGGAGCTTTACTGAAGACCTTCTTTCTTTTTCACAGAATTTTGGGAGGAGAATACGAACTTATTTCCTCTTCATCAATTGTGAAAATTTGAATTGAATTCGATTCAATTTAATAAAAGTTCTTCCACAACATTAATAAAGGAAAGATAGCAGTGGCCTTTACTATTTTACCTGCAACATCTGAGTCCACTTATTCTGTCCAACCTGCACCTCTCGCATGACAAATTGTTCATGTTCACATCATGGCAACATGACAAGTCCTTGGATGCCTTGTTTCCGTTTGACTCCTTTAAAACAGCTTTCGAAGGCACTGAAAAGTTATCGGTGACCAAAAAATTTCGTAGAGGAAGAAGAAGTCCGATCTTCTATTTGATGCATCCTCTACTTTGTAGATTTTCTTGAAATCAGCAAATGCTACTGGTATTTTTGTAAGCAACTGATTGAGAAAAAAAGAGGAAATTACTTATCGAGATCCTTACAAGATGGACATCCGCTGGATGAGATTAAAAATTGGGATTTTGGAATCCTGATCCTGTACACTCAATAATATTGACTTCATCATCAATGGCGTAGACAGCAAACTTCACCTGAAAAAAGCGAACAAAAGAATTTACTAAATAAATTATTTCATCAAAACCAGAATTACCACAGCTAGAGGGTAATAGTCCAGAAAAGTGATAAAGAGAGTGTTCGTGCAAAAAAGCCTGCAGGGTTGTGAACATTTTCAGATTGGCTGTCATATTCATTGAATTTCATTACTTTGAAATAAGTTGTTTTTTACAACCTTCTGAGCTTGATTCATTTTGAGGTATTTCCTTGAGCTGATCATGAGAATGTGGAGGCTAAAAGGGAAATTTTACCAATACTTTTACTAACATTTTCAAGTCATAATTTTGCAGCACCACTAGATTGGTGAAAAAAGAATTCTAGATCCTGTGCCAACGAAATATACAGAGACTGAGCTACTGGGGCCTCCTCCATTTTCTCAGATCCACGCAACACTGAAGCAACGGATTTGAGGGAACAGAATTAGAAATAGAAACAATCTATCCTCCATGTGTTACCAGTCTTCAGTGTAGCATTGATTTACTGAAAAGGCTTGTCTAAAAATCAAACACTGCAACAATGTCGTATCATCAAAAGAAGAAACATGATAGCATGCTGCAGAATAAACTGTTCAGCCCTGAATTTCTCCAAAACGGCAAATTATGTGTTCGAATCGAAGAGCATATTGAGCTCAGAAAGTTGTAATTGAATCATAGGGCAAAATAATTTAGATATTTCAGAATAGGTCAGAGGTGCCTATTTTTTTCACTTCATTTTTAGACATGCGGGGTGAAATGGTCTTCAAGGAAATTTTGTAGAATTTTGTTAAACTCGAAGCGGTCGAGAAACCCCGTTCTGAAAAAGGCAGAACCAGGACTAGTTTGAAAAGATATTTATGGTGGGCTCTGATGACATAGCTAGAAGGGGAAACAGTGCTTCCTGATTGGCTGAACTCAGCTTTAACGCCTTGCTACGTCAACTAGACCACCGGCTTTCAATTGGTCGGATTTTGATTGGCTTTTCCTCCCCTCAAAAATGCTTTAGTAGACTTTTTGATAAACATTCTGGTTTTTTAACAAAATTTTATGTGCAAAAATCTGGACAACAACCTTGTAAAAATTATTTGTCACTGACCAATACCTTCCTGAGGCAAGTGTCGATGTTCGAACTTTGGGAAGTTGTATGAGATTTCTTCAACTGAACAGTAGCATGTTACTGGTGACAATGCTACATTTAATGCAAGAAAGGTTTTCAGAGATGCGTAGTGCTCACTACTGAAATAGCTGGTGCTTCGTCTTGGTTTTTGAAAGGTTTCACAGAAACAAGTTTAAAGCACATAAAATTATTTCCAAGATATTGTCTTGACGGTATGAATTTCAAAAATGTTTCCAAGAACTAAGTGAAACTCTCTGAGAGCAATTAATGAGTAAGTGAGAAACCCAGAGCTGACAGACAAGAACAAAAAGAAAAATGCCACAGATGACTTTTACTGATTAACGGAGTTCAACTAGCATTACTTACCCCTAATAGTTTTTCCGTGAAATGCATTACAGTTTTCGTATGCATAGTGATAGGACCAGTTCTGAGCTTTGATTCACCAACAGCAAGTGCCATTAGGATAATAACCTATTTTCCAAAAAAGAAATGAAGGAGTCAAAATACTAAAATAAAAAGATACCCTGAAAAATGTATTCACTTCCAATGTAGGATCCATTTGGGCTTCAGAGGCCTGTCGGCTAGCCACGGCTCCGCCAACCAGCGCAGCTCAATGGCTGTATCCGCTACTATGTCAAACCAAAGCCAATGAGCTGCGCAGGTTGGCGGAGTCGTGGCTAGCCGCCACAGGCCCATCAATAAGGTAAGTTTGAAAAAACCTTTTTTTGAATGGTAGACTTAAAGTAGGATTCGATGTTTACCTAGAAAGAATTTATCATCTTGACAGGATGGTTTCAAAATTTCATGTCCTATTTTATTTTTCAGAAGAAACACGAATAAACTTTTCAGCTTGAAATTTGCACAAATATTTTGTTTACAGAAAGGAAAACTCAAAAAATCTCAAGATATATCGTTGAATAGTTTTCTAAACAAAAAATGAAGTATAACAGGAAGTCTACGACGTCCAAAACGGATTCACAGTTTCGCTCTTTCGTCAACAATTTCTGATGCTTGAGTGAAAATGGAGGCAACCCTTACAGCAGAGGAGGAGCAATAATATGTGCAATCAGTACAGAAGCAGTAAAAACACCTCTAGGCGTATCAACAGATCTAGACACATTCTGGACGCAATTGAATTACAGAGAACTCTGAAAAACCGAGTTTTTTTTCGCTCTCTCTATTTTTGCTATTTTCACTGACTTTTTGGCGGGCTTCAAATCCTTGAATCCTTAAATCCAGTGATTTTAAGTGAAATCAAGAAGATTTTGTTAAGGCATGAAATCAAGTATTTTCAACTGTCATTGTGAACCATGATACTGTTGTTTTCTTATACAAAATGCATTTGAAATTAAAATTAAAAGAGTTTTTGAAGTGATTTGTGCACCTGGTCCTGCGTATGTTGATCAACACATGATTGTATGTTCACTGAGCTAACCAATTCTTCTACTGCTTCCTTGGCTGCATCTTCCGCACGATATCCTCTTTTGTTGCACGATGAAGTTACAAGAAGACAACCTGTGGTGGTTTCACAGCCAAGTCTGAAGACATCCAAAGAAAAAAAAAACAGTTTCAGTATCGGACTAAAATAAATCTGAGCACTCAGATCCTCTGCCCTAACATATGGCATGTTCCTTCCTTTCTGTTCATGACAAGAGCGTTAGTTCCATTCTCACTCTCAAGAAAATGAAAAGATAAGGCAATTAGGCATAAGAGAAAATGTTAATCCTCCAATTCAAGTAACACTTAATGATTCAGCAAAGTAAGTTTGAAGTTTTGAGGAATTTTTCTAAGCTAAGATTTTGCTTCCGACAAGTTAGTCATGATGAAGCTCTAGACAATTCACAAGTTTAAGAATTCTGAAGTATGATTTCTCTATGAAGTTTCAATTAGAACACAATTTAAGCGACAAAAATTACTAATTTTAACTCCCAACCAAGGTGTTAACTTTTTTACTTGGCATTGGTCGTAATACACTTTTTTTCCATCTTGCGTTGTTCAAAAGTAAACTAAGTGCAATGGCTAGGCCAAATCCTTGATACTGAGGTTGCCATATTTTCACACTGCAATGACGTGTGTGCAATTCAATTCGATTACCTACAAAATGGTTCCTTCAGGGACAAAGAGTTTGAACTTACGCATTGAAATTAATATCTTAGTTGGGAATTAGTTTCAGTATTTTCATTTCACAAATTGTGTTCTTACAGGAATTTTGATGAGAAACCAGAAATAATGGTTAAAGTCTCACTTTGTCGAGAGATCCATTTGAGAGGGACTTCATTCCCAGGGTTCTCATATATTAGGGTATTTTGTATGATAAAACTTGGGCAACATCAGGAATATTTAAAAAACAGAATGAAAAATCACAAAATGGGTTAAATAGGGCTTAATAATAAAAAACTAAAAATGAAGCATGTTTTGAGCAGTCACAGGCTCACTTTCAACAGCAGAAACAATCAAAATTGAGTTTAATTCTATTAATTTTGATTATTTTCCAGCTGAAAATGAGTCTGTGATGGCTCTAATCATCCTGCTATATCTTTTGATATGGTAACCTTGCTCTCCCCATTTTTTAAAATTTTCATTCCGTTGCGTCTAAATAATACTGATGTTGCCTTAATTTTTTCAAATCAAATACACTATCCTTCTTCAATAGCTAAGGACCGTGGGACTAAAGCCTCAAGTAAACAGGAAAAGTAAGTTGCACCGTTCAGAGAAACGCTACGCTACAAAATTCAAGGGCTTGTGCATTAAATAAAATTTTTTCATGCTTACACAATACCAAATCCATCCCCAAAGGCCTTGTCAGAGGAGGTAGATTTGATCTCTGCACAGTTCTTTCTGAGAACAGGATCATTTTTCAAAACTCTTTCCACATATCTTGTCATAGAGTCAGCCAACTGGATAACATAAAACATAAGTGTTAGAGATACACAGTGGAAATTAACTTTCACAACTGAGGGGAATGAAAATTATGGGACTTTTTTAAAATTCAAGATGTTAGTCATTTTTAGTGAGAGAAGTGTCTTCATATTTTTACTGAATATATCGAATACACTGTCTTCCAGTAATTTTGGTATTTTGATCGTTCAGCCAATATAGAGGAAACAGGGCGAATGAGTACAATGTTGCGTCTAAGTGCTGAAAATGCAAGCTTTATTCAGACGTGACGTAACCGCTGAAGTACCTCCTTCCCCCTTTTTTTTCTCTCTCATGATGCATTAGATATAAGATACCTTCTTGAATGGAGCTCTTGCATGTGTGATAGATTTGCAATTTGCACACCCATTCCTATGAAAACTTTCTCGAGCAACATGATGGTGCCCCTACTTATCTCTGTATCGCACTTTCAAGCTCAAAAAGAAAATCTTAAAGTTGAGGCCATAATGAAGGGGATATCCCACCCTGCCCTGAGAGTCCACCTCTATATTAAGTCAAACTCTTAATTATAGAGATGGACTATCAAAGTAACATGGGATACATCCTTCATTGGGATCTCAACTTTGAGAGCTTTAATCAGTTTTTTCAATCAATTCTCAGAGATAACCAGACGTTCCAATGAGTTTCACTCAGAATTTTACATGGGAATCAATACTTAACCCTCTATGGCATGAATTAATTTTGGATCTCAAATTCTGGAGGACACTAATCTATTTCCTATTTTGCATGTTAAATAAGCAGTACCAATTTCTTTTCAAAATTTTAAATTTTAGGGAATCATTCATTCAAAAACAGGAAAAGCTAGTGAAAATTTGCAAAATCATGTAACAGAGGAATGATTCCATTTTTAACAACCCCAAAAATACTTTGTTAAGAATTCGTAACGCGATGCCATAGAGGGTCAAGTCGCGAATTCCTGACATAAGAAAGAGCTCCATTGCAGGTCATTCAAAACTGATGAGCTAAACACAAAATAATGTTGACTGGTGTTTAGTAACTTGCTCCAATAAAAAAACGAACAGCATCCAATTTTCATCTTTTTTGTTGCCTCTCAGAACAGAAAGGATTTGATTTCAGAATGAGCGCATGGTCAAAACACTTTCATATTGTAGTTTTAAGATTACTAGTGGCATACAAAAACACATTACTTCAAGTTCGCACTTCTACCATGGACCAAGAGAATAAATGAGGACCCTCAACTCCGGTTAGCGCTGACATCAGCGCTGCCTGGCAGAGGGTGTAGTGAACTAAACGGACGATTGGGTCCTCCTGTTTATATTTCCATGCACCACCTATTTAGGCTTATCACTCAGTAGTGCTCATAGAAGTTTCTAGATCCTCGTATCCTCAGGGTCGCCCTGCAGTTTTGAAGAGTTTAGTGTGAAAAGTTTCCCATTTTCATTTCAATCTTCGTCAGTTTTCGGGTACATGAACTGGTAATAATGTGAAGTGTTTTTTCTAACCGTTTTACTCAGCAGCAACTGCTGTTGAGAAAGCCAAAGGAAGTGTGTGTGTGTGTGTGTGTGTGTGCGTGTGTGCAGTGTGCAGCAGGAATCAGGATTGCACTTTTAGCCGAAGGCGCAAGTGAAATCTTTTGATTGAGAAATAGTGTTGTACTGATAAAAATCAACTGAGTGTCACAAAATCAAAGATACTTGACTTCAAGCATTACCTTTAATTTGATTATTAGCAAGTCTCTTTGATTCTGCGTCAGAAGTTGACTGAATCATCTTTGCTCGTGTTTTGATAAGATACTTCAAATCAAAGTCTTTCGCATTGACCTGTGCAGAAGGTATGTATCTATACTATTTCATTAGTTTGCGAAAGTAAAATGTATTAAAGTATCTAAACATGTAAATAAATCATAGATAAACAAAGAACATTGCATGGAATAACATACTATAGAGGTACGATCGTGGACCGCTGTGGCGTTAGTTCACCGCACCCTCTGCCAGGTTCGCTGCGAGCGCGCGTTAACGGTTTTTAACACAGGTTAGCATAGGGAGTTGGGAGTCCTTATTTATTCTCTTGGTCCATGCTTCTACCTAAATATTTCATCGGACATCAGAAATCTGCCATTTTTTGGGAAAACCTTAAAAACAGCCGCCAATCAAGCTTTTGAACAAGGATAAAACTTTTTGGCACATCCAAATTTTGATTGAAACCTTACATATCAAACCCTAGAATACTTAAAAAAACGAAAAATTAAGGAGGTTCAAGGTATTTAAAATTTGACTCTTGAGAGACCAGCAAAAGGCCCTTGATGGGTCAGGTTAGCTTTCACTTTTCTAAATTTTACTGTGCACTAACTCTGATAAAAACTAGCCACAAGACAAATCCTTCAAGGAATGTAAGCAAGGAGGAATATACAGGTACATCAGTTTAGAATACGTACGTGAGAGGGAAATTTACCGGAAACAAAAGAGAAGCCAAACACTCGCTTGACTTCACCAAAATCTGTCAAAGTGACTCCTTTGAGAGATCTTACTGGACTGACACTCACAAGAACTTCTCCTCGTCCTTTCGGGAAGTAACCTCTGAAATTATACAAATTGAAATTAAGCTGGGAAGATAGATTACTATGATGCGATAACTCATTACAAGACATTTCAAAAAGATTATGTAGGTTTTAAGGGTGCCTGAGAAGTTGGAACCATTCTAATTTTTGCTGTATGCCCGGTTTTCACCCTGCATTCTCTTAGTTTCCCATAAAAGGACCCCGCACGGTTCTTATGGAAAATTGCCCTCGGTCAAATGTGTTGAAACTTCAGTATGTTGTGCAGCATGTCATCGTGAACAAAAGTTCCAATAGGCCAAACAAGATCCCATGTGCGGTTTTCGAGATATTCGCCGTTTTATGTGCGTAAACGGAGGTTTCGCGCGCTCCCGCCGGAGCCATACCATTGTGCGGAGCCGCTCGTGCCCTTCCCTCCCAGTCACTCTCCGCTGCCCCGCCGCCCATACCTTGGCTCCTCTATCGCTCCAACTACGACGCTCACGAGGCTGCGCCCATCATTACCGGACCGCGCCCGCGCGCCGTCTTCTTACGCGGCCTCTTCTTCGGTCATGTCGCCTCTTTTTCTCATCGATCCTTTCTCTAAGTCTTCAAAAACGTTTAAGAAGTCCATTTTTACTAAACATGATAATGCTAATATCACNATTTGTTTTTCCTCTCTTTTTGTATTATTTGTGATATTAGCATTATCACGTTTAGTAAAAATGGACTTCTTAAACGTTTTTGAAGACTTAGAGAAAGGATCGATGAGAAAAAGAGGCGACATGGCCGAAGAAGAGGCCGCGTAAGAAGACGGCGTGCGGGCGCGGTCCGGTAATGATGGGCGCAGCCTCGTGAGCGTCGTAGTTGGAGCGATAGAGGAGCCAAGGTATGGGCGGCGGGGCAGCGGAGAGTGACTGGGAGGGAAGGACACGAGCGGCTCCGCACAATGGTATGGCTCCGGCGGGAGCGCGCGAAACCTCCGTTTACGCACATAAAACGGCGAATATCTCGAAAACCGCACATGGGATCTTGTTTGGCCTATTGGAACTTTTGTTCACGATGACATGCTGCACAACATACTGAAGTTTCAACGCATTTGACTGAGGGCAATTTTCCATAAGAACCGTGCGGGGTCCTTTCTAAATATATGAGTTTTCTACTTATAGTTTGTGTTGTGGTGGGTCAGCAGGAAAACCATTTGAAATCGCAACAGCGCTTAAGTTTGAATCGGTTTGAGAACAATGTTTCCAGTTGTGTCAATTTTAACTGTAAACATCTGCAACTATGAAATATGCACTGACAGTCAACTAGACAGTCTGAGACCTGACAAGTCTCCAAATTACAGTCCTGCTCAGTTTTGATCTCATTTTCGAGTCAGAAATTACTTGACAGTGTGAAGCAGAAAACACAGTTCTATGATGTAAGATGTCAGCACCTGATACCGCAGCAAAAGTGTAGAAATTCTATTATTAAATGAGTCTCATGGAAGAAACCAACCAAATAGCTTTTTGTCTAGTACAGACACTAACACAAAGCAGTTTCAAACTTGGAAATTTTAGCAATAACAGAGATATTCAGCTGATAGAAGAGACAAATTATCTTGAATTTAAAAAACAACAGCATGAGAATAGATCTGTCTGTGTGATTCATGAGATTAGGAACCGATTATAATTAGGAGAATTAAATTTCTAAAGTATTCTTCACTAGCGTCACATTAAATTGTACTTTAAAGGGATAACAAAGTTCAAGGTTACCAGGTTGAAAAATGCCCACAGATGAAACAAGCACAGGTCTAGAAAGATGGTCCAAGAATGCTATGCTAGTGCATCCTGTAGTAAAGATCAAAGATAAAGATCTTCAAGGAGAAACTTGCCTGGTTTTAATTTGAGCCTTGAAATCACCTCCAAATTTTTCCAGCATGTGCCGATAGGCCTGGGAAAAAAACAGAAAATAGGTGAACCGACAGCTTTTTCAGGGTGTCTGGCAATCTTAAAAATAAAATTTCCTGACACATCCCCAATTTTTATGACAAAAACGGCCAAAAAACCGTGAGAAAAAAAATTGCTGACAGACATTAATAATTTTCTAACGATAAGGAAAAATATTCCCAATTTTTCAACATGGTTGATCTAATTAGATGTAAGTAAGTATTTTTTCATGTTTTAAGGATATAATGTAACTAGGGGGCTACGCCATCTGGCAACAACGCGGTCCAACCCTCTGAGGGCGCACTACACCATCAAGGAGCCGCTTCGCGATCCTATTTTTAGCCTCCTATCAATGTTAGTTTTGTTTCTCCCCTAAAAATTTATGATATGAGATGTACTTTACTTGTAGAATGAAATTGTTTTTGTTTTTGATAAATACAGAAAAAAAATGTTTAAAGTCAACAGAATGTACTTTACAATGATCGATTAATGTACTCTTGCAGTAAAATAACGAAACATGGTTATCAGGTCATAACAAAACGGTCCAAGTGTCAGGAATCGGACCCACGGCCCGAATCTTCATGGAGGAGCTTTTGACACTTTAAACAACTTGGCTACTGCACGGCTTAATTATTGATGGGTGAATCTTGTGTTCATAGAGTAGAGCTAATATGCAGGCTACTCGGCGACTGCGCAACCTTCTGCGCGCAGCGGCAGCAGTTGCGGAGCATTCTGTAAATTTGCTCTCTTTTGTAACACGATAGTAAAATAACCTGGGTCCTACTTCCAAAATCTGATTAGGGCGGACTCATCTAGGTCCTGTCACTTGTCGATAACCGAAAAAAGCATTACCAGATATGCAAATTAAGGAGGTCTCGGAACTTATGGTATAGATAAATAGAGCAAAATTTATGGTGCCTAAACTTATATGGGATATGTTTGCCTCATTTTTAAAATTTAAGAGACATCAGCAGAAATTCAGGTAGAAATTTTAGTATCAATGCCATTTTCTTAAACTTGATTAATCATCAATTTTCAACAGGAAAAAAATCCATATTTTTTTATTTCTCTGACTATTCCTTGACACAAAAATCGCTTGCAAGATGAAATTCCCTAACAGAATTTTAGCAGATTCCATGACGTTTTCCCTGATCTCGCTGACACAAAAGAAAATTTCCCGACATTCCCAGGTCGCTAGACACCCTGTTTTAAAGAGTAATAGAGACTTGGCAGTGAAATAATTCACAATGCAAAGATTATTGTAACTTTCTTTAGCTGTTTTTCATGGCAGCTTGAAAAATAAGAATACCAGCAAGTAATGGGAAGCACTACTGGTGCAGATTATTTTGAATACTTGGACATGCCATTAAAATTTTCTACAAGGAAGAAAAAAACAAGAAATCTCTCACGGCAACTTAAAAGGGAAAAATGTGCACAAAAATTGTTTTTGTTCGAGTATTTGAAGTTACTTTGTTGTACATGCCATATTAAGCAGTCAAGAAACTGACACCACTGCTGAGTTGCTGCCAAAAGTGAGTGACAGTCAACTCTAAAAACTACCTTTCAAATTATGTACGCTGTGTCTCGGAAGGAAATGGTAGTAAAAAAAAAAAAAATTACATACCAATACTGTATGGTCAACTGGTGGAGCGAGATCAGCATTAGTCCCACCTTTAAGTTCAAAATTTGTGGGACCTGGGGCAAAGAGAGCCAATGGTAAAAGGACTTGCATCATCAAACTGACACTCCTGAAACAACAAACATGCACAATTAACTTCATAGAATACAATGATTATACATTCGTCCGTACAGGACAGCATTTTAATGAAAGAATAAATGTTGAGATAAAATTCTATCTGATAAAAGTCACTATAGCTGATGATTTTATTTGAACAGAAGGGATAATATAACCTAAATAATAGTTACTTAATACTTTTAATTGCCATCAGCTAGATTGAGTTCCAGTGAGTTTCTCTCCAAAATCTTAGGAGACTCTCAGAGCTCCCAGCATTGTCTTGTAGTTACAATATAATACACACTAGCAGGTGGGCAGTGAGTCTACAGGAAAGTAGAAGGCAACGAATCTTGCACGTTGCAAATACCAGAGTATCCATAATTTCTGCATCTTCAAATTCCCTGACTCCAAACTTTTCTAATTCCCTAACCTCCCATGACCTTCCAACAAAATTTCCACCTACATTTTTATTTTGCTTTATTTATTTATTTTTTTTTTTTTTTAAGTACGCTGACTTCTGCTCAGCTGTGACAAAATGTCCTTGTTTAAAGATCCAAGTATAGGAATATACGTATTCAGTAGCTGATTAGAGGATAAAAGCCTTAAAAGGACCATAGAAGTTATCAGTTGGAAGATCAATGAAATGCTTCAGCGATTTGTACATAGATGTGGCAAATTCCCCGACTTTTCTTGAATTTTCAGACCGCAGGTAATCCTGGAAGACGAAGAAGACAGGAGGAAGGATTTATGTTAAGAGGCACTTGTAAAAAGTAATGATTTTTTTTTTAGGGCTGTGCGAATACAGTTTTTATGTTGAATTGAATCGAATATTTTGAAAAAGTTTTGAATTCGGATCGAATTTTTAGTTTTTACCTATTTTTGACCAAAACTTCTCTACCACAAAAACAATGGGGTCGGCATCAGCCGCATGCAAAAATGAGAGTGTCTTAAAAACGGGTTCAGAAAATGGTAAAGTGGTGTCAATAAGCATTGAAATTTTAAGTTTTTCACAGAATCATGTTGAAAATTGCGCACTCTCCATGAAACATGCGCAAAGGCAAGAGGCAAGATAACTAAAGTGCAGGCATGTCACTGCTTTGGAGAGGAGCTCAAAGTATTCTCTGGTGCTATTCTCTTGCCTATCCTGGTATCAAAAAGGTTAAGGGATTACAACGCACTCAAAGACTACTCAAGGGGGTTTCAAGATGAGTCTAAAAATTTTGGCATGAAAACAAGTTGTTTAGCTCATGTACACTTGCAAGAGAAGAAAAAAATGCGTTTCAATCGTCTATAGCCAGCTTAGACCTAGCTGCTTACCCAGCAGTGACAGCATCAGCATAAAAAGATCCAGCTTTAATTCGGCCAGGTCGAAATGTTATCTCTGTCGAGCCCATGGATCCGCCTTCTAGACTTCCATCACACATTTGACGAACAAGCTCAATACCTGGATCGAGTGAATTCATAAAATGTTAAGGATGAGATGATAGATCTGGTTAGTTTATACAGCTATTCTTTGCTGTTCAACTGTTTTTGAATTTTAAATTTAAAAAAAGAAAATTCAAAAGAAAAATGTTTTTCAAGACCATTTTAAGAACTTGCTGTTAGCAGATTCTTGAGGCATATACTCAATGATGTCTGTATCAATCTTTAGTAGACCCTTTTATAGTATCAACATTGCTGGGCATTCCCTGCCTCGGTTTTGCTGCACATATACAATTGCATTGCATTTTGCAAAAAGGAACAAAGAGCATTCCAATTTTGCTAGGATTGTGCAACTTACATTCTTTGCAATAAAACTGAAATCAAGAAAAAACTAAATTTACAAAATAGTTTTCGTCTCCAATTTATTTGATTTTTTTGGAGTAAAGATAAAACTTGCTTAGATGATCAGTTTAAATTTGCAAGGTAAAAAAAGGTGCACAGTACTCGCGGCAGAGCGTTGACGAAGAGATGTTGCAGTGTCAGTTGCCCGATAACATCTGGGAGGATAGGCATATGTGGCGTTTGGATGTCGCAGAACGTCAGAGTGCGTTGTAGGAGTGACTTTACACATATAAAAGAAAGCTACACAATGTTGGCAACATTGGAATGCTCATGGCTCCTTCTTGCAGAATATAATCCAATTTAGAGGATAACAGATGCTGGACTTCTCATTTTCAAAACCTGTTTTCAGAGCTTCCTCATTTTAACCCTCTGACTCCTATGGACGAGAAGTCTTGTCTTGGAACTTTAAAAATCTTCATTTTATATGTAATTTAATTAAAAAGATTACTTAGGTGCTGATAACTAACTCTTGGTGACTGATCTTTACTCCTACATAAAGAAGTATAAGAAATAGAAATTTCAAGCTGTTAGGTTGAGAAATAAGCAAATGAAGGTACTTAACGAAACTATCAACAGTCATTTTTGCATGATTTCCCATTTCTGACCTAGGCTGAAGGAGGACAACATAAAAACCTAACTCAGAAGTCAAAGGGTTGAAGCGCGACCAAAAAAAACTGTAGTTACTGTGATCAAGAAATTTTAGCAGCCCTGCTAGGTACTAGTACTTGTGCACCCAAGTAGTCTGAGAAACAACAAAAACGCTTAGTTTTGTGGCCAGCACAGTTGCAAACGACCGGTGGTAGAATTGTGTCAAAATGAGATTGGCTGATGATTCCTGCTGAATGCAGGTGTTTAGAGGGACTGATTGAAATTTGCTGTAATGCCATACGGACTGCAGTCATTGGCCGCGAAGGTGAAGAGAAAAGTCCACACTGTAACCACATTCTCTGAGAATTTCCTGTTTCCCCCTGGGAACTCATAATTACAGAGTTTTCCTACTTGTTCCGAATTTTTCCAGAGAGGCAGCAACCCTCCTTTTTGCTGACAATAGTAAAAATAGATAGTTTGATAAGTTTTAGAAAAGTGTGGATTTTTATTTAGATTCTTATGTATGGCACTCATTGTGGTTTTAAAATAAATTAATGCAAGAGAATGAGCTGTCTCCATTAAGTCCTATCAAAAGTTAGCAAAATCACCATTGACAAAGATTTCAGCAGAAAAAAAAAAATATTTGAAAAAGAATAATACCTTTGAGATGTTGCGATTTGAGACCAGGATCTTTCCTTCCTGCTCTAATTTTGATTATTCGTACCGGCGCATCCTTAAGAGCAGACAAGGCAACAGCTGTTCGCAGGATTTGGCCACCCTGGAAATTACACGGTTTATACTTTATTTCAACTTTCAAATTTCCTGGATTTTCCCTAAGTGATGGCATCATAAAGTAATTCTCAAAAACAACTCATTCAACACGGAGGTAAAAAAAAATCACTAATCTGGGGCTCTGATAACTGACAACTTAGGCAGGCTACTCCTCCCTTCTAAGTTTCTTGTTCAACTTCAAAATCCCAAAATACTATTCTAAAAAATATAGGATTGTATGAATGTGTAAATAAATTCACTTTCAAAAACCATGCTTCACAGACATTTTATGATAATTTTTGACTGAACCATGTAATCCGATATTTAGTAATTTTTCGACGCTTAGACAACTGTCAAAAAGCTGTCATTGAGTCAGGCAAAATGAGGCTGCTTGAAGTGAAAAAAATTTCCCCCAAAATTTTTTTTCTCACAGTAAAAGTTTCTATATTAATATGCTGTTTACGGTAGAGAGAGTATCGACAACCGTCGAGCATTTCAAGGTGATTCATTGTCTGTCGCTGTTTTGTTGCCATGATACTTCTTAAAGCATCGCTGTTACTAATCTATGACTTGGAAAGAAATATAGCGTACAGAAATAGATACATCACAAAGATCAGGAAGAAATTGCTACTGTACCCCTTCTAGAAGAGACCCATCGATAAGAGCACAGCCAGTGGTATCCAATTCCATTGTTGATTTAAGTCTGGCGGAGTTCTCAACTGCTCTGAGCGGCTGAACACTGCAGATTTTACGGGAAACTAGATTAATTCTGTTCTTCGGCAATAGACTCCAGCAATGGACTTCGGCAATGCTACCTGAAGAGATACAGAAGGTACATGGATGAGCTTGAAAGGAGACCAAATCAAGTGTTAGGTATGAATTGCATTAACTAGACTTGGAGCATTCCAAAGCGTGGAGATAAAAAAATTAGATGATTGCATTTTGAGGATTGTTTACCCTATGACACAGATTGGTGCGATATGGCATCAATAATACAGCTAAATCTGGAATTCGAAGTATGAAAAACTGACCAAGGTCCAAGGCGTCTGTATTTTTGGCTTGGATCAACTCAAAATATTCTTCCAAACACATCATGTGGAATGGAATTTTTCCAAAAACCGTACCATTCCCAAAAAAAACGCAAAGGAAAATCGATAATGAAAGGTATCGTAGGTCGGCACCGACCAACTTCATCAACATGATCCAAGATGCCCAAAATATGACCATTTCCATAATTCTTCTCTGATTCCGGAGAGGAATAAATGCTCCCTGCGGAGCGATTATTGAAATGATATCGACTCTATGTCGACGCTTTGTCGTGGCGACATAGAGTCGATGTCATTTCAATAATCGCCCTGCAGGGTCATGTCTTAATGTGTCTATGTCCAGAGAAATGAGAAATAGGAAAGAAGTACACTTAGTTCATGAGGAAAGCTTTTCAATCATCCACATCAGAGGAAAAGCAGAGTCTAGGGTTGTCGACACTTAACTGATTTCCAAAGTATCAATACTTTGGATCAATACTCAACAGTATCGATACCATGTGGTATTGTTCCTCAGACCCCACTGTCAATAATATTGATCCTTAATCTGATTTGGCCATGAAGAATGCCAATTTATCTTTTTTTCTTTCAAACTTCTCTCTCCAGTTTCACATGCCATCACTAAGCACTGAGACAAATAACAGAATAATCAGGATCCTCAAGAAGATTACTTTTGTTTAAATGTTGTAAACTCAGCTCAACAGCAGTAGTATGTAAAGGGCTCATGACACCCAAGACCGATCCACACAGGTCGGTCATTACGCATCTTTTTGAAAGCCACTTCCCCGCCCGGCCCTAACTCGGCGGCACTCAATGCTACGTCACAATGGGTGCTCCCATAAGAAATACATTGCAGGCACTCGATGCTACATCACTGCGCGTTAGAGTACCCAAACTCATCCTCGGGGATGACTGACCTGTGTGGACTGGTCTTGATAGTAGCTGACTAAGCACCCATGCAAAGAAGGGTGGTTTCGAGAGAAGCATGAATCTGGTGGAATCGAGCGGCCAATAGACATACACACTCCTAATTATAGCATAATTTGGATAATGGCGATACCATCGATACTTCCCAAGGAATCGACATCCCTGGCAAAGTCTCTCTATCATTGCTCTATCAGTATTCGTCTCTGTCCAGTTGAATGACGTTATTGTTGTACAAAACAAGTGGAGGACTGATTTCCCTTCGTTAGAATGTAGAATTTCGTGATGTGTGCCATGGCCGATCCAAGAACAGTAGATACATTTCGGGCTGCACATGGTATGTAACATGTGAGGAATAAGTATGAACAGATAAGACATTATACTAAGCAGTTACCTTGAATTCCCATGGAAGACTGCTATACATTGAATGGAAAAGATCAAAAAAGGAAAATTTGCACTTCGCAGCGCAAAAAAGTGACTTGTAAAATTTTACGTACCGGCAGGCTGAAATAGAATTCAAAGTTCGATCGAACTTGGAAGCATGGACATGGACCAAGAGAATGAATATGAGAATGTAGTAGTAGTAAAATAATTTTATTTTAAAGCGGTGCTTTAGCATCTAAGGAATGAAGCATGCATGGAAGAAAAGAACGAACTACGAAGATTAAAATGGCCGCCAAGCTCCAAGGCCAAGCTCGACCGGCCGGCTTGTCCAACGCAGGAACGTTTGGAGTTCACGGAACCGGAAACAGGTTTGTAGACGGAAAATATGATACGGAAATGACTAAAGACAAAAGAATTGTTTTGGCGCCTTTTTCTTTGTTAGGCAATGTTGCACAATATGGCAAACAATTCCGATAACAACAGACCATCATGTACAATTGAGGTTATGTTATGTTTACACCTAGTTCTTCATTGCATTGCTGAAAATTTCTACTTCATCGAGTTTCAATTCCATCCGTGATATTAGTGTCAAAATCCTCTTTTTCAATAATTGTATAATTCTGTGATCTCCCGCAATAAAAGCCAAAAATAAAAACCCTTGGTAGTGCGCTGTTAATTCTAATTGTTGAAGTTTCCGAAAACTCTTCTTCGCTTGTCAAAGTGTGCAAGCAGTTATGTCTCTGGAGTCTCCAGCTCACTTTTGTTGTCGTGCCTAAGTTTTCCCTCACAAATCAATACATCTAAGCTGTCCCGGTTACTTATCAATTGCGGTGAGTACATAATGCGTTGATTTTCTGTGTCTGAGCAGTTTCTTTTTGTGCTACATCCAGGTCTTAATTCTCAGATCGTGTCAAGCGACAAAAATTTCCTCAGTTACCATGCGAGCAAGAGACATACCTGAGTCCTCTGAGTCAGGAATGGAGGTCATTATTCAGATGAACATGAATATTGATTCAATCTGCCCTGAAGTTTTTCTTTTTTCACACCTAGTAATATTGAGGACATTGTCTTTGGCACACTCAAAGAAGTTGTGGGCGATAGTTAATGTCAGGATATTATCTGCAGTCCTCACCATACTGCAATTCAGAAAATAGCCCTTGGCTAGGCTCTAGCAGGGACTAGGTACCATCATGTGTTCTGAAGAAAACTGATTCCCTGTTTATAGGTCTTACTGCAAGTAGACTGTGGTCTAATATCACTAAGTCAAAGTGTGGCATTTGAGCTTAGGAGAGATTCTGACCCGGTCCCGAAGGCCAGGGCTGAAAGAAAATCCCGACATAGATCATGAATTATCAGAAGCATGTCACTGACTCGTCTCTACTCTCAGCTTAGGTAGAGAAAAGGAAGAAATTTTCATGGCCCTATGTATCGGTAGATTATCCCACTTGTCAACCTACGTTCATAGCCTGGTGGTTAGTGCATGGGCCATCGTAATTAGAAATCTACAGATCGCACTCCTTGGCAGATTATTATTTTACACAATTGTTGTATCTTATATCATCATAATTGCCACATGTGGTCAGGAAAAGAAGATTTTTTCTGTGAAAAAAGAGAAAGACGTGTTTATCGATGCATATAATTAATTGTCTGCATGGATGAAACTAGGAATTATTCAAAATCATTTTTATCAACGAAGATAAGTAGGAGGGAGGAAACATCCCCCCCCCCCATGTAAAATTTTCCCATCGCCTAATGTGACGGTATAGGATACATGATATACTGTAAACTACATCATTAAATGCTGCTTAAAGATTGGTTACCTGGGATAGTGATCATCCTCATTAGCGTTAATTTAGTACTGCTGGGGAGTGCCATGTTACACAAGATGCAAATGTGGAATAACAAGAAACAATTCTACTACTTTAAAAAATTAAGGCAATCCAGGCAATTAATGGAATCCTTATTTTATTAAAACAATTTTGAAAGGAATTACTTAAAATAAAATACATTTAGTCGCTTCACTCCATCCACTTTGCAGTCTTACCAGTGAACCACATTTTGCTGTTAGGCACCACAATTTCTGGCTCAGTTTAGAAACAACGTATGTGTCATTAGTTTCCCTATGCACTTAAGTGTTTTTACAGATGAGGCAGAAATTATAGTTCCGAATTGCAAAATTTAGTCCAATAGTTTCCTTTCACTCATAAATGTTTTTATGGATGAGCCAGAGATCATAGATCCTAATTGCAAAATGTAGTCTTATCAGGCGTTGCAAGTAGTTGGTGCCCAGTTTATGCAAGTATTCAACATTCTAGCAGCACTTTGCGAAGTCCGTTTACCTGGTCCATTTCAGTCCTCATAGTAAGTGAGTGATATTCAGGAACCTATTTGAAGAACTCCATCTCAATGCTCATACAAACACGTCCAATATCAAATCATGCAACTGTGGTCAAGCACTTGCATGTAAACTGCATTAAATGCAAGTGATGGGGGAATGCTCTTGTTTAATAGGTCAGCAAAGCCATCGATTGGTATTTCAGCTGCGAGATGCTTGTAACTTCAATTTCTCCAGCAGTAATTAAAACGCTATCAGTAGTTACTCTTGATCGATCAATCTAGTAGTGGAATGGATCTCAAACATGAGTCCTTTCTCTTGCCTTACCTGACCCTGGTCTTAGGAACTTGAATAAATTAATTTAATTTCTTTATTGGCCGGCTGTAGATTTTGTTTTGTCCAAGAATAGCAGATCGAATAGGAGTTCTGAACAACCCACTTCAGAGCAAAAGGCCTCTTTTTTAAATCTGATGTAAGTTACAATGGATTCTCATTATGAATGTAATCTCTTAGTATCTCTTCAAGAAAATTTGCCAGAAATTTCGCACACGAAATTAATTGCTGACATGAAGGTGTAGGAGGCTGAAACATTTTATAATGTAGGCGTGCAGATGTGCTTGATCGCCAGATCTGTGGATCTTGGGTGTTACAGTGTGTACTGTGTACTCACTGGCAGGCGTAGTATAGACAATTAGCACAACGGAACGAATGTGTATCTGTGTAGCGTTTGAAGTATCTCTACGACGTTGAAGGCGCTATACTAGGTGCGCGCAGGTGCGCGTTTTTTGTCCGCGATTATTCAAATTCACGGCGTCAGATAATTACATTTTTTTTTAGAAATGCATCCTATTTGATGCAAACTCTGCAAGTGAGGTAATGTTGATAAAAATGTATAAATTACAGCTGGGACACCGATTTTTTTGTGTTGATTCTTACTGCAGAGCTCCGCTTATGTTTTATTGATATTAAATTCCTAGACTGCGCTTGCTTTTTTTTTTTTTTCGTCAACGGCCGCAAAGATTAGAAAGTTTTGCCGGTGGATGCGTATACCCACTGAAGAACTTATTGCACCCTCTTTAGTTGTAGAAATGTTATCATGTGCGGGACACTTTCTCAGGAAAATCTTTTCCCCATAAAATATCATTCGGATAAAACATTTAGGAGAGAAAGCCTACCTAAAGAAAATATCCAATTGAAAAAGACTCTCAAGTAATACTAACTCCTCTGTTAAATCTTTTAAATTAAAAACTCCATCTCGAAACTCATCGTGGAGTTTCAGGAGCCATATGGCGCATCAAGCTCGATTTTTAGGGGCCATTGAAGATTTTTTAGGGGCCAAATTGACTTTTTGCCTATGTATCATGGCGCATTTAGTGACAAGTTAGACGCAAGGTGTTTTGGTTACAGAACTTTTAGCTGTTACTTACTTGGGGAAACGAAAAATCACCGAACAGAAAAACTAGGATTTTTTTTTTTTTTTTTTTTTATTTTAAAGGGGCCACGATGGCGCAGAGTTTTTTTTTTTTTTTTTTTTTTGGGGGGGGGCGCAATTTTCAGGGCCACGATGGGACAGAACCTTCATTTTTTAGGCGCGATGACCGATTTCTTCGGTACAATTGGCGCGTTGGCGCCTGTGAGTTTCGAACACTGAATCAGAGATTTAATAAGTCTTCTCACAGTAATCTCCTGGGGTTGGTATATTAAAATATGATGCTTTTAATTTCTGTAACAAACTCATTTCCCGCGCATTTCTATTTTCGTTTGCTCTTGCAAAATTATGTGGAGTCCTGAACGCGAAACATGACGAGCCGCGGTTCCTGTTAACGTTAAAATATCTCAACTGCTCAAATTCCTCCATCGATGCCTAGTAATGGTGATTCGAGAGTTTTTCGCTCATCTTAAAAATTTACAAATAGACGTGTTTAAGGTGATTTGATGGACGCCATATTTTGTGTCAGAACGGCATGCGATATATCGCATCGATTGGTTCCATTTTTTCAGCTACTCGTCATTTTTTCCAATTTGAGTCGCAATTCTGTTGCCAGGAGACTAAAGCACTCACGTACGAATTTTAACAAAGAAATTCAACGTAATAAAGGCGTGGTTTTTTTAGAGAGAAAACATCGCATTCGAGTGCAATTTCGATATCAGTATCGAATGCGATGTTTTCTCTCTGAAAAAACCACGCCTTTATTACGTTGAATTTCTTTGTTAAAATTGGTAAATGAGTGCTTTTGTCTCCTGACAACAGAATTTCGATCTCAAAATTAAAGAAAAATGACGAGTAGCTGAAAAAATGGAACCAATTGATGCAATATATCGCATGCCGTTCTGACACAAAATATGGCGTCCATCGAATCACCTTAAGGCAAAGTCGGCTATCCGTGTGGTGAATAAGAAGGAAAAGCTTTTCGGATCCGCCGCGCTCTGAGGCCAAAACACGAAGGCGAAAGCTTATGCTAACCAGGCTGCATTCTCAATCGTCGCCCTTAAATTAGTCGTCGTGGAAAAATCCATGAATAATTTATTACCCTGATGAACCTCGGACTGCGTTTACTCGAATTGCAGGAGAAAAATTTGACAGTGCGGCTCTGTTGTCAGACGGATACTCGAATTCCTAGCACCTCTAGCAGTAGTTGACGAACCTCGTGCAACCCGAATCACTTGCTCGCCGAAATTCCCCCCAAAAATGCTTATTCTTGAGAAAAATTATGAAAAAATTTCCCTTGAATGGGCCCTCTGCAAACTTTTGCCAGAGCAAAAATGAGAGTTGTTCCTTAAAGGTACATACATTCCAGTCGCTTTACAGCGCGTTCGGGCGCTCTGCGACACCTAATCGCCATCCTTGCCTATCGATCCAGAGGTCATCTGGTAGATGGCATCTTGTGATTTCATCTTGAATGCCACCAATCCACGATTTTGCTGGGCGTCCCCTACGTCTCCTCCCAGGAGGAACCCAATCTAGCACCTTCTTAGGCAACC